GAGCTTCCCTGCAGCCCCGTGCTTCCCTGAAACCTCGTGCTGACCGAACCTGACACACATAATATTTTATTAATTTGTACTGGGTAGTGGCCTAGCAGAGATTCCAAACATTTCTGTAAAAATTACCAAACAGTAGTAGATGTTTTTTTTTTTTTTAATTTCCCTGGATGTACACAAACTGGTACACTTGGCTAGTAAGATTTTAGAGTACTTATTATGCAAAAATGCAGAGGGCAAGATTTTGTGTCTGGCCCTGAATGAATGATTTCCTCACCCTAAGAATATTCATCTACTTTGCAAGTTAGAATGTCTGCTTTACAACCCATGTTCTAATGCCCTGTGGCAGTTTGTTGATTTCAATCTGGTGCTCCATATCATTTAATTGAGAGAAAGTTTACTTGGTCTGTTCATATCCCATATATATTTAAAATGGTCATATGAATTCTCAAAGTCGCATGAAGACAGATTTTCTTTTAGAGTAGTTTTTCAGGTAAAAGAACAATTGCCTAGAAAATCTAAAGGCAACAAAACTGTTGGGAAAACTGCACCTTCCCTCAGTAATTAATCATCGATCTCCAAGCCTGTAGCTTAGTTTCAGCAGTCCCTTCTCCAATCTGAGCAGCTACCCTGAGGAGCAGCTAATATGAACCTCAAAAAATCGCTTTGCACTGGATCTAATGGGTCCTTGTTAGCAAAGATTCTCACTAGAGCAGCATACAGGATTTTAACCAGGGCTTTAGTCTCAAAGGATTGTGGTGCTGCCTCCTTTTGTAATTCCCCTTCTTTTGTGAAGGGAAGGGAAGGGAAGGGAAGGGAAGGGAAGGGAAGGGAAACAAAAACTTGGTGGTAGTCAAACATCCTGAGGCCAACTGGCATTCCAGACACCTTTAGATTAAAAAAACAACAACAACCCTAAGATATATAGAACAATAAGGCTCTTCTATCCTATGCAACCCTGATGATTCTCTTTTTTTATGAAAGCTAGAATTTTGTTGCTTTTTTATCCCACCTTTATTATTTTTATAAATAACTCAAGGCAGTGAACATGCCTAATACTCCTTCTTCCTCCTATTTTCCCCACAACAACTCTGCGAGGTGAGTTGGGCTGAGAGTGAGTGACTGGCCCAAAGTGACCATGCTGGCTTTTGTGCCTAAGGTAGGACTAGAACTCACAGTCTCCTGGTTTCTAGCCTGGTGCATTAACCACTAGACCAAACTGGTTTTTGAAACTTAAGTAACAGCTTATTTCGTTTCCTGTTCTGAAGTATTAAGTTAATGCTTTTTTCTTGAGATGAAGGGCACCATACACATAAAGAAGGATTGGGATCATATAACCTGCAATTTTAGAAGCATGGAAAGTTGATTTTTTTTTAAAGTTCCTGCTATTAATATAGAGGCTATACAGAGCTGAATGGGAATACATACTTGGTGGACCTTTCCCTTTACATGTATCAGGTCAGAGAAGAGGCCATTGGGACTGCATCTCACTCTTCAGGAAGTTTTAGAACACAAGTGCCAATCACAAGTGGTATTTGTGCCTCTCAATAGATGTAACTGAGAATTTCCCTCCTCCAAAATATTCTAGATAATGAATCAAAAACAAAAATAAAACCTAGGAAAGCCATGTACAAAGAAGAAGTCATTTTTTACATATGTCTCTCTCTGAGACATTGTAATATAAGAATTTTATCTACAATTGATCAATCCTCTCTGGATCCTGCTTGTCCAACACCAATTATATGTCCATTTCCATCCAGGCTTGGAGATTACATATTAAGTGTTTGGCATATAATTACCTATAGAAGTATAGGACACTAAAAGACCAGTCTGTCCAATCAAATTCTTCTTCATGCATGGATGATATATTTTAGTGTGTTGTATGAAGACTCCAATAAGAATTTGAATAGAAACAACATAGATGGAGATAAAGTGAACACTGACCTCTAGTCTCCTAATCAGAAACT